AAAAAAGATTTTACTTATTTGAGAGAGGGAGCACAGAAGTAGGGGGAGGGGAGAGGGAGAGAGAAAAGCAGGCTCCCCACTGATGCAGGGAGCCCATTGTGGGGCTCAATTCCAGGACACTGGAATCATGACCTGAGCTGAAGGCAGACTCTTAACTGACTGAGCCACCCAGGTGTCCCTACAGTAACCCTTTTAAAAAACTGCAAATGCCAAGATTTTGTAGTAACATTTTGGAAAACAGGATTTGCACAAAACAAGGTTTTTTTAGACAGCAATGTATATGCCCACCTATGAAAAGCAGGTTATGGAATTATTTAGATGGTTCAGGGGGAAAAATAAACCTCTTTTGCTACAACTGTTTGGATCTTGTCAGAGCAATATTTGGATAAGAATTAGCCTCTTAAGTACCTTGATTTTCCACTTGATTGGACATATAAGACATAGCAAAAATGACTTGTGGATTAGTCCTACAATTTTTAAAAGTAAATTTTAAGACTCCTCTACTTTACAAATGTAGCCACTGCTTTCATGCCATCAAGTCATTTTCCTGAGTTTCTGATTTACATACACCATATAGATGTGCTTAAATAATATTCTACTTTACGTTTTTCTTTTGCTGGTAATATTATTGGGAGAAATCGCAAAATGTCATCTCTAGTTGCAGCTTTCCACTCTTACTGATTCCAACAACTCCAGCCACTGCGTTCTAACAACACCTTGGATTCTACAGGCCAACGGCTCTCAGGTTTTAACTAAAGTAATTTCTCACTGGAGACCCAGAATACAGCTACTCTACAAACTGGTGACATTATATGGTGGCCAAAATGCTACCATAATATTATTTCAAAGGGCTTTTCAATATGAACTTGGAAGATATTTTCGACCATAGATTGGTCATTGGCACACTTTCTCCATGAAGGTACAGGTAGTAAGTATTTCAGGCTTCATGAGCCGCATCGTCTGTGTTCCGTTCTTGCAATTCAAAAGCAGCATAGACAACAGGTAAGTGAGCAGCCGTGGCTGTGTTCCACTCCAGTCCCTTTGTGGACACGGAAACCTGCATGTCACTTACCCTTCATACTCCATGAAGACTCTTCTTTTTGTGCCTTTGAATCATTTACAAATTTATAATCAATGTTTGTAAATTGGCTTTTGCTGTTTAGAAACAAAGCCTAGGCCAGATTTGGTCAGCAGACTATAGTCTGCTCATCCCTTCTGTAGAAGCTCAAATAATTTATGTATTCTCTTGGTCATATAGACAATATTGGGCAAAATAAGGAGATATTTTTTAAAGATTTTATTTAAAAGATTTTAAATAAAATAAAAGATTTTAAAGATTTTTAAAAACATTTTATTTATTTGACAGAGAAAGAGAGGAAAGTACAAATGGGGGGAGAGGCAGAGGGAGATAGAGAGGCAGAGGGAGAGGGAGAGGCAGAGGGAGAGGGAGAAACAGGCTCCCTGCTGAGCCAGATGCAGGACTCCATCCCAGGACCCTGAGCTCATGACCTGAGCTGAAGGTAGACTCTTAACCAGCTGAGCCACTCAGGTGCTCCAGGGAGAACATGTATTTCACACCGTTCTGCCATGTGATTTATTTTTTTAATTTTTTTATTTTTAAAGATTTTATTTATTTATTTGACAGAGATCACAAGTAGGCAGAGAGACGGGCAGAGAAAGAGGAAGCAAGCTCCCCACTGAGCAGAGCGCCCAATGTGGGGCTCTATCCCAGGACCCCGGGATCATGACCTGAGCCGAAGGCAGAGGCTTTAACCCACTGAGCCACCCAGGCGCCGCTGACTTTTTTTTTTAGATGTATTCCTACAATTCTTTGCATTTGATAGATTAAATACATTTGGGGGGTGATTCTGTCCTTGACACTGCTGTCACGTGATATGCAGTACTTTTTTAATCTTGTCATCTGGAGACCTTTGTGCTCCATATAAAGGCTATAAATTGCATATGCTTCCACCAGGCATCTGTTAAAACGCAAGTATGCAGCAATGAACCAATTAACATTTTATATTTTCTAAGACTAGAAAGGAGCAATGTTAAATCTGCTTTCTAATGGCATAAATTCACTGGAACGTTTGTTTCAATTTTCAAGACGGGCATCACAGTAACATTCAATACCCATACTATGAGTACTGTGGATAAACTAACTCATTTACTTCATTATGTTGGACTCCCGTATTCCTTGGAATTCTGTTCGGTTTTATTACTTAGGCTATCTGGTTATGGTTTGAGATCAAAGAGGCCGATTGTGACTGAGTTTTCTATAATTTACTTGTACAAAACAAGGATAGATTAGATTAAGTAGTATTTTATGTGACAACTCTAGGAATTTTTACATAAATGCTTTTGCTGCTTTTTGGACTGAAAAACTCGGGCAGGAAAAATAAGTATCTGTGATATGCATAGAGCGTCTCGATTCATCCTAGACTTTGAGGCCGGGAATCTTACTCTGAGCAGACATGCAAACAGGACCCAGGTTGTGCGTGTGATGATCAGTGAGTGCCCCTTCCCCAGATGGGGCTGGTGTTGGGTTTCTCTCTCACCATGGCATGTGGTCTAAGGAGGTCGGTGCTTCCTGAACAAGCCTCAGAAGGAATGTTCCATATCAACAGAGCAAGGAAGCAACATCTTCGTGTTTAGTTAGTGGTTATCCACGACGAAATGGATTTCCTTTGCCACCAGGGACTCTCCCGAGCCTCAAGCATGCTGTACCCACCAGCCACGGCGTGTCCTGCCTGAGACCAGACCACTAGGTTCTCAGGACGGGAGGCTGGTGTCCCGGATGCGAGAGGCCCAAGAAGCTGCTCCTGTTAGAAGTGGGCAGTGGTTTTGGAGAGTTAAGAAGGAAAGGCCATGAGTCCCTCACAATTATCTCCTGGTACCCTGCCTCACTTCAGAAGGACTTGACAAGTTTGCAAGAATACATTGGTGCTAAAAACAAGAGAAACTACATAGAATGAGGAAAGAGGGCAAGGGAAAATAAATTGAGGAACGTGATAGGAAAGCAAGGGTAGTAGTAGGAGTAAACCAAGAATTTATTATAAGCTATGTACACTTTCCAGAGCTAGGCCGCAGATTTGACTCTAACGTTTCCCGAGTTGTCTAAAAATGAAAGAAACTCGATTCCTAATATCGAGAACCGTAACCCCCAAGATGGGTCCTTGGCCCAGGGTTGAAACAGGAAGTGGGAAGCGGCACTCTAGCCACACTTGTCCTTGATTCTCTCCTGCTAAGTTGGGAAAGCAAGATAAATGTCACTGAGTTCTCGGTGGCCGTCCTTTATGTCACTTTTACTTCACTACATGTGTCATTTTGATCAAACGGGTATATACCTATGTTTAAAAATCAAACATACAGATTTCTTTATAATAAAAAAATAACATGGGGGCAAGATATCTATCCCCCCTTTCCCTTCTCTCTCAACTCTACCCTTGCCATCCAGTTCTTAATATTTATGACTTTACTATTCTTTTGCCCAAGCGGCATGATGTGTGTATTTGTCCACAATCCTCTGTCCATTTTCTTTTCTCTCTCTTTTTTTTAAAGATTTTATTTTATTTGACAGAGAGAGACATAGTGAGAGGGAACCACAAGCAGGGAGAGTGGTGGAGGGAGAGGCAGGCCTCCTGTCCACCAGGGAGCCCTATGCGGGGCTCCATCCCAGGACCATGGGATCATGACCTGAGCTGAAGGCAGAGGCTTAATGACTGAGCCACCCAGAGGTCCCCATCCATTTTCAATAGTAGAATTGTAAGGTCGAAAATCAAGTGGATGTTTACATTGCTGTGGCTATGGTGGATTGAAATGCATGCACTATGCTTAGAGGCGCAAAGGAAATGAACTTTCTTATTCCCCATAACCGATGTGCTCTTAATCATGAACCTTGACCCTTCCGTGGAGCTGTGAGAACATGCCCTTGATGATGAATCAGTGTCACTGTGTCGTAGGTCCCCAAGGTGGCGATTCTCCTTTAAGGCTTCCGGGACTCCATGGATGGCCCCCCACACAGTATGGTTTATCCCCACAACAGAGGGACAAGGCATGTGGTGCGATGTCGGGAGGAGACCACAGGCACGTTTCCAAGAGCCCTCTCCCAGCAGAGCCATACAGGACAAGCTCATTCACTCGGCACCTGGGCTTTACTGGGGGCCGGTCAGTGTGTACCCCTGCCTAGCGCAGGTCACAGTTCCAGACTCCCAGGTGGTAGGAAGGTGTTCAGCACATACCAGCTTGTCTTCAAGACATTTGTGATGCTGCCAACCCTCTGTGTCTGTAAGTGAGTGTGAACAATCCCCACACCCAGCTTCCCGGGCCCAGAGCCCAGGGCCACTCCAGAAGCAGCCTCCCCTAAGGACAGCAGTCTCAGGCTGCAAATGCTTTCTCATGCCAGTTACGTTCCTCTGGTTGAAGCAGTGGCTTTTGTTTTAATGATCTGCGAATTCAGAAGGTAGCACCTCTTGAGATAGACGCTCAATTCCCAGATTCCCTCTGCTTTCCCCTGTTTTTCTCCAAAACTGTGTGTATGCACACATCTGGGTATGTGTATCTGGTGCCTCTGTGTGCAGTAAGTGTGTGGTGGGAGGTATGTATGTGCTGTGATAACGTGTGTGTGCACAGACAGGTGTGTATGGTAAGGTGCATGTCCGTGTGTGGTGTGCCTGTGTGTGGGAGTGTGTGCACGTGTGTGTTTGGTGCACCTGTGTGTGTGTGTGTGTGTGCTGGGGCCGGGGAATGTCTTACATGTGAATGTCTTATGTGTTTGGATCAATGCACCAAAGATCATCTTCATTGCTTGTTGAAAATAATTTTCATCTACTAGATCCCCCAAAAGGATCTAGAGGACCCCTAGGTTCTGTAGATTATATTGCTGGACTACAAATTACTTTCATTATCATTTTATAATATCAATGGATTTTGGAAATTGTGCTAGGGAGTACATTCATGTTACATTTCGTGCACCAAGTATGTGTTGTTTTTTCTCAAAGGGTCCGTCTTGCTGGGATGATGTCTTAATCCCAAACCGGATGACCGGCAAATGTCAGTCTGCACACTGCTCTGGGACTACAGCCGTAAGTACCTGGTCAAATCCATTTTTTTTTCATTATGGCATCTTCAGTGTTTAGTAGGAAATTAGCACAGAGACAAGAATGCTAACTGATTTTTCTTCCATCTGATACCATAGCGTTGAAGTGTCATCAGATTCAGATACTTACGTAGTCACCCCAAATTCTACTTTGTTAATTGCCACCCAGTGCCATTTTCCTAGTGGCTTAACCACTTTGGGTGACTGTGTAGAAACATGTCCCTTTAAACTCCTTAAAAGTGATATTCATGGGTTATAAAGAACCACTTCAGAGCCTAGCAAAAGAAAGTAACAAAGATACAAGGTTAATCATTGTGCCGGTGCTATGATATTTTGTATTTATATTCATCATCGTTCAAAATTACTTTCTTTCTTTATCTCTTTCTACCTTTCCTTTGGTGACATGGCGGGCTCTTAGAAAATCTGGTGAGGATGAGCCGCTGTACAACTGAATGGCCATCTTCCATTCTCTGCCGTCCCCTTCCTCTGCGAACGTATGCTCTATGTTGATGCGTCATATGGAGCAGATATTTCTTAAAAGAGACCCTAAGTACTGAAATTATTTTTAGATCATTTTACATTCTGATCATGTCCATGATTTGTATACTGTTTTACTTTTTACCTCAAAAATTCCTCGATCTGTCATGATCTGATTGTAGGTATCTCCCGAGCTCTAAATGCCGTTGCGGCGCCAACCCGAATGTCAGTGTTGGTTCACAAATTGTCACCGCTGCCTGGCAGTGCGCATCTTCTCTAAGAAACAGTCTGTCAGCAGCAACAGGTAGAGTCCGAGCTAGAGCAATTAGGCGCGCCTCCTCTCTCCAGTCCGCAGGGCGGTTGCCCGGTCCGGAGGGAGCTGCGAGCATCACTACCAATCATTTTCCATCGAACAGGGGCAAGGACCATGAACAGGTTTTTATTAATGCAAATCCTGAAGAAAAATAATGACTTGTACGTCAGTCCCATGTATCGAGACATAACACAGTCTTGTAAGTTTGTGACGGAGATGAAAGGAAAGTGTGTATATTTATGGGGCAGAACTCATCAGTATAATTACATACACGTGCACGCATACAGGTGCAGCATGTATTTTGTATAGTGAATAATATCTCCTGATTACAATTACATGTAATGATTAATTATATCTCCATCCAGCGGTCCATTCACTCTTCTACACACACATATGTGGTCTCTATCATCTTTCCAGTAATGTGAGGTCCTTTGAACACCTGTTACAATTCCTGACAGTCTGACCGCCTCTCCTGAACCTTGATATGAATTGGCAGGATTCACTCACAGCAGAATAGACACTTTTGCATCTTTAAGGATTTAGCTGCAAATCAGTCAAAGGGGGAAACTGTGCTGAGTGGGACTGAGAATCGTTTCCTTTGCTCGTTCTACTGACCTTAGATATCAGTACATGGAATTCAGCATAAAATAAGTTATATTGCAGTTCGGTATCTGACAGCAGGGTGAGCTGATATCCTTCAAAATCCTTTCAGCACCTCCCATATAAAAATACTGGGTTAAATTACAAACATTTATCTTTTTAAATTTTTATTGTGTTATATTAGTCACCATAAAATACATCATTAGTTTTTGATGCAGTGTTCCAGGATTCATTGTTTATGTACAACAGTCAGTGCTCCGTGTAATACGCGCCCTCCTTAATACCCACCACCAGGCTCACCCATCCTCCTGCCCCCCTTCCCTCCCAAACTCTCAGTTTGCTTCTCAGAGTCCACAGTCTCTCATGGTTCATCTCCCCCTCTGATTTCGCTCCCTTCACTTTTCCTTCCTTCTCTTAGTGTCCTCCATGCTATTCCTTATGTTCCACAGGTAAGTGAAACCATATGATAACTGACTCTCTCTGCTTGACTTATTTCACTCAGCATAATCTCTTCCAGTCCCAACCATGTTGATGCAAAAGTTGAGTATTCCTCCTTTCTGATGACTGAGTAATATTCCATTGTATATACGGACCACAACTTCTTTATCCATTCATCTGTTGAAGGGCATCTCAGATCTTTCCACAGTTTGACTATTGTGGCCATTGCTGCTATGAACACTGGGGTACACGTGGCCCTTCTTTTTACTATGTCTGTATCTTTGGGGTAAATACCCAGTAGTGCAATTGCCGGGTCATAGGGTAGCTCTATTTTTAATTTCTTAAGCAATCTCCACACTGTTTTCCAAAGTGGCTGCACCAACTTGCATTCCCACCAACAGTGTAAGAGGGTTCCCCTTTCTCCACATCCCCTCTGACACACATTGTTTCCTGTCTTGCTAATTTTGGCCATTTTAACTGGTGTAAGGTGGTATCTCAGTGTGGTTTTGATTTGAATCTCCCTGATGGCTAGTGATGATGAATATTTTAAACAATGGCTGTGCTGACCACAAAATAAGGACAAGTATATATACATCAGAGCTAGGCGAAAGCTGGACCCCAGAGGGGAAACTGTGTCAGCTGAAATGAGCCACCGCCTTGGCAGCAACGACAGACCACTGGCCCCTGGAGCTACAGACGGGCCCGTGTCCATGGGAAGCTGCCGCTGAGTGTGTGACTTCATCAAGGTGTCGGATGAAGCCACAGAGTCCTGCATAGAGCTAGTGCCCGTGAAACATGATACCCTCGTGGGTTCTGCTGGAGAGGAAGGCGCTCACTTCCCGGAGAGGTGGCCTATGCTGGCTCCCGGCTCACTCTGATCCCCTGGTCGGTGTTCCTCACCCACGTGCCCTGCTCTTCTGGCTGCCCAAGGTCTCACGATGGACCAGGTCTCGGGCAAATCCACTCTCCCCGAGAGGTGGGAACCCCCTACCCACCTTCCCAGACCACTCTAGGATTGCAGACATTGTCCCCAGCACAGGGTGAGGTCTGGACTCAGAATTAACTCTGAGTTGCAGACAAGAAGGTCTGTCCACAGAGCCCTTCAGTGTGTTTCGGGGGCCCTCTGAGGAGGGGGCAAATGAGCCCACTCCATGGGGCCTTGAGGCGTGTGCTGCTGGCCCCGAGGACCACCTCCCAGCTGGCGGCCATCCATTTCTATCGCAACCCACCCCAACAGGACGCCCACATGGAAATGTGACTTGTAACCACGTGGTGGAGAGCATTCTGAGGTAGTGGGTCCAGAATGAGGTGATTCACAAGCCAATTGAAATCATCACAGCTGTCGACTACAGACTTTAAAAAAAAAAAAGAAAAGAAAAAGAAAGAAAGAAAAAAAAAAAAGAAATCCATGAAGTAAGGATCCTTGCCCAGAACCTGTAGCAGATGCCCCTCTGGTCCCCTTGGCCACCTGGGTGAGTTCTGTGCCGAACCCTGTAACAGGGGAGACCCAGGGGCCACCTTCTTGGCTGCCATGGGTGGCTGCTATGCATGTCAGCACAGCCAGGATGGGGGGCCCGAGGGGCCTTCTGCTGTGGCTGGGAGAGAGGGGGAGAGTCAGACAGCTGAGCCCGGGAACGACAGGGAATGCAACACAGTCCCTGAAGGCTTGCACACAAATGACTCTCGTGATCTCCTCCCACTGCTACTCCCGATGCTCGGAGCTGAATTATGACTGAAGGCTTTCTCCCAAAGGCTGTTCTCCTAAGGGTCATTGCAGGTGGGCCTGAGTTTCTTCAGAGCAAGGACACGTGCTGAGTGAGTTCCCACCTTCCCGGGGCCAAAGACCCTCTCTGCTGTGAACCACCAAGTGCGTATCTTCTGCTAGAGGCATGCCACATTGGCCACACACGTAAACCCCTACCAGCATGTGACCTTTCTGGTGACAAGTGACACAGGAGCCCCAGAAGAAGGCTTTTGCACTCCAAAGGCTTTCTGCAGTGGGGACTTCTGGAAGGAGGTGAGAGCTTTGGCTCTCTCCTACTCACTGCACTCAGACACCTTTCTGTGCTTGACACCTTGCAGTGCCAAACACAAAAGGTGTTTCTAATGAAGGCTTCCTCACTGGAGTTACCTATGGAAGGTTTTTCTCTGCCGTGCAGTTCCTGAGGACACCTCACACTCCTGTCCTTGTGGGGCTGTGCTCCCTGTAAACTGTCAGGTGGTAAATAAGAGCTGCTTTCCTTGGAAGGCCTCTCTGAACACCTGGAATTTGTAGGTTCAAGGCTGAGTCTCATGTGCCTGGGCCAGGTCAAGTCCTTGCTGGCCAGCACCCAGGCTTACTCACCACACCTCCATTGTGGGACCACGTGGAGTTGGAGGCCTCAAGTGCCAGCGGGACCGAGAGTGCAAAGTTGTCTAGTGCACACACTGTAGATGCCCCCTGGGCCCTTGTCCAGAAGCCCCTCTTCTCCCAAGAGAGACACACAACCACAACACTCAAAGATCATCAGTCCCAACCAATTTCAGCATCTCCATGGCTGTCATTGGAGCCTCTGGCTGGGGCTCCTCAGAAGCTGCCCTGCGTACCCTCCTGGGAAGCGGCATCTAGCCCGGCGATCTGCTTGATCTAGTGGTTGCCAACAGCAAACCCTTTATGCTGAAGATGGATTTGAATTGCCCAGGATCATTGTCCAGAAGATTGAAATAAAATACAGATATCAAGGGTCAGTGGCTTAACCAACGGAGCCATCTGGGCACTCCTCCAAAGACAGCTTTTGAAACTATTTTAATTGCCTATAAAATCGTTTTTTAGGGGAAAAAGCATTATTAAAAATTTTATTTATTTTTTCTTTTTTTAAGTTTTTATTTAATTCCAGTAAGTTAATATGCAGTGTAATATTAGTGCTAGTTGTACAATGTAGTGAGTGATTCAACAATTCCATACAACACCCAGTCCTCATCACAAATGACTTCCTTCATCCCCATCCCATCACCTATCTCCCCACTTGCCTCCCCTTTGGTAACCATCAGTTTGTTCTCTATAATTCTTTTTCTTTTTAATTTTTTTAAATTTAAATTCAGTTTAATTAACATATACTGTATTATTAGTTTAAGAAGTAGAATTTAGTGATTCATCACTTGCGTACAACACTCAGTGC